GGGGATCGAGTCCCACATCGGGCTCCCTGCATGGAGCCTGCTTCTCCCTCTGCCTGTGTCTCTGCCTCTCTCTCTCTCTCTCTCTCTCTCTCTGTCTCTCTCTCTGTCTCTCTGTGTGTGTCTATGAATAAATAAATAAAATCTTAAAAAAAAAAGCAGCAATAAAATTTGCTCTCCTTGGGGACATCCTAAGAATTTTTGTCAGGCCATAAAAGGAGGCCCAGAGAGATGATTTGGTCTGGGAAAGCAGGAGTAATACTTGGCTCTTCGTCCTGTAAGACTCCCCATGGTTTAAAGAAACCACGTGGAGCCGTGGGGGAGACCCTTGGCAATTGGCTTGTTCAGCCCTCTGCCTTCGGGTAGGACCTCACTTACACCATTTCCGAGTGATGCACTTCTCTCCTATTTTTCAAGAAGGAAAGGGAGATTCTACAGTGGAGTGGCTTTTCCTTTGGCAAAGGGGGTCATGGCCTCAAGAGCATTACTGCAGCCAGGCAGGGAGGAAGTATGGCTTTCTCAAGGCCCAGGCCCTGCTGGTGGGGAGCCGGAAGGGACATCCTCCTATCTCAAGATGCTGGCACTTAGGTTCCAAGTGTGTCCTACGTCTAAGGGAGTCAGATGCAGGCCTGATAAAGGACATTATTAAGATCTCCTCAGGCTTTTCTTCGGATGGTATAATTTCCTGGGCTTTCAAACGCCCTAACTGGGATTTTCCCCAGCCAACTTTTGCTTCACTTAGTAATTAGCTCCAAGTTCTTTTTGCCACTCCTTAGATGTGAACCCCATGCTAATAACAGGCAGGGCGGATTTTGCACAAGGTTTAAATAAATATTCACCACTCAACCTTTTAGCACAGAGCACTGGGGCCACCCAGGCTTCCCCCACAGGAGACAGGGTGGTGTGGGTGGGGACAGTAGCAAACATTCTCACTGGTTTTGAACCTTCACTTCCCCACCTATGATGGCCTCGGACTAGTTACTTAATTTTTTTAAAAGATTTTATTTATTTATTCGTGAGAGACAGAGAGAGAGAGAGAGAGAGAGAGAGAGAGGCAGAGACACAGGCAGTGAGAGAAGCAGGCTCCATGCAGGGAGCCTGATGTGGGACTCACTCCTGGATCTCCAGGATCACGCCCTGGGCCAAAGGCAGGCGCTAAACCACTGAGCCACCCAGGGATTCCAATATTTTGTATCTCAACTTCCTCATCTCTAAAATGGAAATATTCATAGCATATATCTGAGAATTGTGAGGATCAAGTGAGTTAACATAGGTAAAATGCTCAAAATAGCATCTCGCAGTGATGATAGCGGCGTTATTGATCATGACCCAGACAAAGCCTGTGTTTGCTTCGAGCAACTAGAATGATTCTCAGACCAAGTATTTTCACGATCCACTTGTTGGGGGGGGGGTTAACTTGATTTTCAATTATGTGCCAAATCATACTTATTTTGTTCAATGTAAAAAAGAAGTAGAGGTACACAGTTGTGGTTTCTTCCTTTGGAAGGGGAGTGGGAATGATTCCACACTGCCATCTTAGAGGTGACTCTCGTGGCTTAAACTGTTCATCTCTCACCAAAATTCCACTGTGTGTTACCAGCTCATTCAGTAAGACAGAGGGTATAGAGGGGCCCACTTACTGTTTAGATGAAATATCCTTTAATCATGGGAGTATGGGAGTTTGCATTCAAATAAATTATAGGTAATTGCATTAATGAACAAAAAAAATTGTGATTCAATAGGATAAAATATAATTTACTGACATGTCTTATGAAATCTATTTGTGATTGTCTCTTATCTCTAAGGGTTTATATGGATACACCTTTTAAAAAAAGAGAATTTAAACAAAGAGGTCAACAAGCAGTGGTACCCTTTTTCCTTTGCAATAGTTATATCCTTCACACCTGCCCCAGGTCATAGCAAAATATCAAGGTCAAGCTCCCAATATTCCAAGGAAAACTAGAACTTCACCTATACACACAAAGGTGCATACATCCTCCTGTTCTCCAAGTGTTCTTTCCATACTGTTTTAGAGATGAGGACGCGCATCTCAAAAGTTCTCTCTTTCTGTGCTATTTGAAGATATACTCTGGCGAGTGCTAAATTCATGGTTCTGCTTTTATTATCTGTTGGAAATATCTTTTGCCTGGACTCGTTTATGTTCATATTCATAGAAACCAATAAGTATTTCCTTTATTAGGAGGTACTCAATATTACTTGTTGAATTATTGTACCTTTGAAAAATCCATCAAGAGATTAAATTTTAGGAGTCTCGGTAAACACAAGACAATCAGTGTGAAAGAGCCTAGGAATGTGTAGCTGACTTTGGAACAGCCATTTCTTGGTGGTATCATCTGTTCCCATGGCTTTTGAAATGCATTCTTTCATCCCACCTTTTTTCCCCCTGAGCTATCCATACAGCCACCCACCTCATGCCTGTATTCCCTTGGATCTCCCCCAAACACCTAAAACTCAACATGTCAATAATTGAACTGTTTACTTTCTCAAATTTATTCCTCTCTTTGATTCTTTGTTTCATTGAAAAGCACCACTGTGCGCCCAGTTACCCAAGGCTAAAACCCATCCATCCTTGGTTCTTCTCCCCCTCTTGACCCCGTATCTATTCAGTAATTTTATATCACAAATATTTCTGGAACCCTTCCCCTCTTTTCTGTGCCCACTGCCATGACACTAGTCCAGGTCACCATTGTCTGTCATGTGAATTGCTACAATACCCCTCACCCAGTCTCTCTTCCTCTGGCATTATGTCCTTCTAACCCAAACAACACCAAGCCACCAGAAATGTCTTGCAGAATTTATATCTGATGGCTTCATTCTCCAATTAAAAGATTTCACTCATTCCCCTTGGACTGTAAGATAAAGTCCAAACTCCTTAATATGGCTTAGAGAACCATTTATGATATGGCCTCTGTCTCCTTCTCCAGCCTTATCTCTCCTCTTCCTCGCATCGCTGGCCACCCCAATGATCTCTGCAGTTCCTTGGAGGTGCCAAGCCCTCTCTGGGTCAAGTTCTTTGTATGTGCTGTCCCATTTGCCAGGAACTTTTCAGCTCCTCCTAGCTAATGCCTACTGATCCCGCAGGCCTCAGTTAAGACTTTACTTTCCCTGAACCCTGAACACTGGTCCAATGCCCCCATGGGCATATTTAACCAAGAACTTACTGTATCATAACACACATGAAGTTGTTTTTTCGCTCTATCCTCCTCCAGCTTCGGCTTCCTGGAGGGGAAGAGAGTGTAGTGTTTACTTTCGTATTCACAGATCCTAGTGCGCTGCCTGGGACAAAGGGCTTCATTTTATATTTACTGGAAGGAGGAAGAAAAGAATGAAAGTAGCAAAGTGACATACCCACAGTTGCTCTGAGTATAAGTGCTAGTATTATTTCTTTCTGCATAGGCATTTCCAACTGCAGCTTGGGCCTTTGTCTCTCTTACTTTGATTGACATGTAATCATGACATAAACTAAAGGAAGGAGACTATTTTCTTGCCAAGGCTTTCATTTACCTAGAAGTATGGACAAGTACTCCTGTGAGCAAACATCCATGCTCACAACTGATTGCTCTAAGTGGTTGGCATAATATTCATTTGGAACAAGATTATTAAATATATGTTCATTGAGCATAATACCTAGCAGCAGTATGGTGTTGGAATTGTAGACAGAAGGGCAGAGTCCTCTCCCCTGCTTTTATGAATTTAACGATCTAGGTGCCTGATGGGTGGCATATGCATATGAAAGGTGCTAGGATTCATCATAACTGTTCTCAAGATAATAGATGTTCAAAGAAGAGAATGATCATTGAGGGCTTTAGGATTTGGGCTTTCATTTCAGTAGGATTTCTAAGACTGATGCATTCATTCAATAAACTTACCAAATGTTTATGATGGAGCCGAACTAACAGATTGACAAATGAAGGTGACACAAGTGCTACCCTTAAGAGATTTATAATCCACTCAGTTATAATAGAGCACAACGCTTCTAAGTCCCTTAACTTTGGATATCCAGAGATCCCCTGAAGCTTTGGATTTAGGTTTCTGTTGGTCTTGAGGCCCATCATTTATTATAAGAAATTCCAAAAAAATATTTATCACCCAAAGAGAGTTAAGTTTGACTCTAGACAGTAGATTATGGTCCTAACCCGGAACCTTTAATATCTGAATGCTGTAAAGCAGTCATGGTTCCACTTCTCAAAAGCAAAAGATACTAGGTCAAATTTAATATGTCCCAATTAAGTAGAAGGAAATTCCAGGCTTGTAGGAAACAAGCTATGAAGGCTGGGTTGGGATGTTCACTGAATCGCTGCCATTGAGGTGGAGCAAAGGCTTATGGATATCATTAGATATAAGCAGACTGGAAAATGGGGGCCCTTCCTTGACCTCAGTTGGACCTTGGCCCCTTGAACCCTCACATCGGGTCCCAGCTCTAGAGCTGGGCTTGAGCTACTGGATGATACAATCATTAGAGACCGTGGCCACAGGCCTGCTGGCATGGAGCTTTACTGGCAAGGTCAGCTGGTTGTCATGGACGCTCCGTTTTGGCCAAGCTCATTTGGCTCTTCACAGCTCGGCCACCTGTTGTAAACAGCTGAAGGGGGCCTGGCTCCATTTGGAGGTTGTCACTATCTCTGGTATGTCGTCCCTCCCTGGGAAGAGAAGGGTGTGTGGAAACAGGGAGGGCAGTAAACAGTTGCTTCTCTCACAGAGTCACTCTCTTTGTCAAGAGCAACGGTCCAGACATGGCCAGTCATGGGTGGTCCTTCTGCACAGGACCTACCATCTCTTTGAAGACAGGATAGTCACAGACCTAACTATAGAAGCAGCTCTGCAGAAAAGACTAGAATAGCAGGTTGGAATCAGATCACAGAGGGCTTTGAATGCTGAAGGATTTAGAATTTATTCTAGAAGCTGTGGAGCATGATTGAAGTTTCAGAGCAGGGGAGTTATAATAAACCCAGGGGTGGAGAGTGGACACCCAGGACTCCAAGATGGCATCATCTGTACCAGTGAAGGAAAAGAAGCTCATGGAGGTGAAACTAGGAGAGCTGCCAGGCTGGATACAGATGCGGGATTTCACCCCTAAGGGCACTGCTGGAACATCTCAAAGAGTTTACTACCGGTATTACAACAAGTATATCAGTGTGAAGAAAGGGGGTGTTGCTGGGATTTCTATGGTGCAGGCTGCTTACGTGCTTTTCAACTACTGTCGTCCTTACAAGGAGCTCAAACACGAACGGCTACGCAGGTACCACTGAGAGGGCCCAGTGTGGAAGCACATTTGGCATTCCTGACCATGACTTTTGCCCGGCATTCTTGAATCCTTCCATTGCCTAATTCACAATTAATATCCAATAAGAGTTGACTGGTAAAAAAAAAAAAAAAAAAAAAAAAACCCAGTGGTGAAACTGGGATGCTGGCTCAGTGCTGCGACTAGAGAAAGAGAGGGATAGATAAGGGTAGACTGGGAACCAACTGGGCAAGTGGCCAGTTTAGGTTGAAATGAGCAGGATAGAAGAAGACAGTCCACCAACAGAGGATGGACCAGGACACAGAGCACAAATAAAACAGGTCACTCAACACTCCCATGATCCATACTCATAGGACCAGAGAAGGCATTGCAGAGGCTGGCCAGGGTTCTAGAGACTTCCCAGGGAGAGGCACTGCTGCACCGTGAGGGAAAACTTCCAACTTCTAGACCAGCTCAGCTGTGCTTTTTTTTTTTTCTTTTTTAGTCTCAACAATAGCTTAGGCCTGGATAAAGTTCTACTGGGGGTTCTAATGAGGGGTTCCTCTTCCTTCCCGGGTTCCAAAGGCTGAGGAGGGGTTTATAATGGAAGCAGTGAAAAGGCTATGTTCTTCAGCTTCCGCTGACGTTGGTCTGAATCTCAGCTCTGCACCTCATTAGTTGCCTGGGACCTTGGGCACACTCTCTAACCCATCTGTAAAGCAGGACTCAATAGCAGGTATCTCATTTGGTGGCTGCGAGGCTTAACTTAGTTAATACAGTAAATATATGTAATATATGTTGGCCACGTATTGGGTTCCCAGTTCCTGCTGGAGTCCTTTTGTCTTTCTCGTCTTACAGCCCAGAGTTTGTCCTCTGTGGATCCTGTTTCCCTCTTAGCCAGAGGCAGACTCATGATGGGAGGGGTGTCGTCAGAACAGTAGCATCTTCCCTTATGAAGTCGGTTCAGCCACACCTCATATTGCTTGGCACTGGCTCCTGGAAAAACCGTGTAGTAAATTACCATTTTATGTATTTATTTATTTTAAAGATCTTTATTCATTCTTGAGAGATACACAGAGAGAGGCGGAGACACAGGCAGAGGGAGAAGCAGGCTCCTTGTGGGGAGCCAGATGCGGGACTCGATCCCAGGACCCCAGGATCATGACCTGAGCCAAAGGCAGATGCTCAACCACTGAGCCACCCAGTCGTCCCTAAATTATCATTCTAATGCAGTAAAGTAGTTGGATACCCCCAGGTATAGTCCTGCTTGTAGTCCTTTGTTAAGTGGGATAAGTCATCATTTAAATTTTTTATGTACATTGATTCCACCAAGGTTAATTCATGTATAGGTGGGGTGCACCTATAAACGAGTCCAGCTGCTCAGCCACTATTCAGACAGCACTCAGAGTAAAGGCCCCACGACCTCATCACAGAGTCTGATTGTCTCTCCTCAGATACTCACTGTGCCCTGGGCCCTAGCTGGACTTGAAAATTCAGGATGCATATAACCAGTTATCTCTGGGTGGAACTCCCTGTCCAAAAGGGAACACAGCTATCCCCTTACCCTTAACCTGACCCAAATGAGAGAAGAACTGGGGGAGTAGGCCCCCACTCAATTCCACAGGGAGCCAGGGTCTCCTTTTCCAGGTCCTGTTGGGCTTTGGGGTTCCTGAATTGACTAAGGCTCAGCCTCTATACTTGGAACTTCACAGACTTCATGAACCCTTTCTTGTGCTTGATCTCATGGATAAGTATCATTCCTGGCCCTGGTCACTGGGTTACCAGATGTATAGGTAAAAAGGTGCTCCTTAAAGGGAAGTACTGTAATTCCCTAAGGGAAGGTCCAGGACAAACAGATCTGGGAAAATGTGCTAGGACAGCCTCAGGGAGGGAGCCTGCCTGGCAGGGCCTCACTGCTGCTTTGCAGAAGCGAGAAGATCCATGGGCCTTGGGGTCTGTGTTTGCACAAGGACTGGCCTTCCGTGGAAGGGAGGACACTGTATTGGGAGGGGGTGATAGACTGAGACTTCTATTCCTAAGTAGCCACACAGTACCAAATCTACAGAATGGCAGCAATTTGCTCCTAGGAGCTTTATCTAAAAGTCCCAAACATACAACCTTAGTTTGTGGAGTGTGACTATTACCTGCCACTAGATGGCCCCCCATGTACGCATCAGCCTTTATCACATAGAGACCTTGGAGTAGATTTTCTGGTGTTTTTCTTTCTTTTTTTTTTTTCTTCTAAACGTGTACACACACATACACACACACAATCTTTACTTTCATCATCTTTGAAGCTGATAACCGATTCATTAGTTTTCCTTTTAACATTCAAATGATAGAACTTACATTCTCTGGAAAGTTGGTGTTTTTTTTAAATGCTCTGGGTCATAAACTGTGTGACTAAGATGTTGGATTTGAATCTATTCTATTAAATAGTATGTTTTGGTTCGTCTAAAGTAATACATACAGTGTAAAACAAAATAGTCTTTAAGTTCAATTTAAAAAAAAAAGCATTGGGATCCCTGGGTGGCGCAGCGGTTTGGCGCCTGCCTTTGGCCCAGGGCGCGATCCTGGAGACCCGGGATCGAATCCCACGTCGGGCTCCCAGTGCATGAAGCCTGCTTCTCCCTCTGCCTATGTCTCTGCCTCCCTCTCTCATTCTGTGTGACTATCATAAATTTAAAAAAAAAATTAAAAAAAAAAAAAGCATTGGAAGAGAAAGCAAAAACAAACATTAAATCATGTACTTACTCCCTGGCAGAAAGTGTTCTGAGATCTTTTAAATATTAGCTTATTTTATTTCATAGCTTGGAAATAGCTCTTCTGTTCACATCATTATAACCATCCGATAGACAAGGGAACCGACACTATGAAAAGTGAGGAGCTCACTCTGTATTTCAACCAGTAATTGCCAGGCCCATCAACCTCCTGTCCTGGCTCATTTGCCCTATGTCCTTCTGCTTCCCACTGGTCTAAAACAATCAGGAGGGACTTAGCAGAAATCCAGTTGTGGCATGAAAGACGTCAGGATTCTGATTTCTCTTTTTCCCTTCCTCTCGATTTTCTTATCGAAAACATAGAAAACAATCTCTAATTGCTATGAAAGGACTTTGTGTATTACACAGATGTCTCCTGCTGTTAATATGGGGATATTTGGGGTTTGGTGGGGATGTAGAACTCTCTTATGTACCCAGGAGGTGGGTGGTCCTTCACTCATTCCACAAAAAGTATTTATTTTGAGGTCTCCCACACCCAGGTGCCCGTGCTATTTCAACGACAAACTTGGTCCGCCTTGAACTGTTAGACTTGAGCATTGCAATGTGGTTTCCCAGTGCTTTTGGCAGGTAACTCTCCCTTAGCCTCGGGATCCAGAAATAAGAGACAATGGTAGGAGAACTGCAGAGGTGGGACCCCAGCGGAATAGGAACATGGCCAGCGCCACTTCTGCATGAGCCACACCACCAGCAAGAGGCAGATGGGTTTCTTAAATCATTATTTTGGAACACGATGTTTTGTTTCCGTATCCAAGAGTTTCCACTTCAAGTGGCCAGTCAGATCATCTCTCTGACAGAAGGCTTCAGCTACAAGCCTCTGGATAAATTGTAAAGGGCCTTCTTTGGGCCTGAGGCAAGCCACTTTCGTGTTGCATCTAAGAGTTTCTCCAATTTGGCTTAAGTAATGCTGTCCGAGACCCAGGCTTTGATCCCTACACATGAATCATTTTATATCTGGAGGGGCTCATTGGCAGGCTCTTGGTGTAAGGAAAATTCTGTTTTCCTCCTGGATTGGAAAACCCAGCAATAGACATCACTCTTACTCGACTTCATTTTTTTTAAAGATTTTTAAAATTTATTTATTCATGAGAGACACGGAGAGAGAGAGGGGCAGAGACACAGGCAGAGGGAGAAGCAGGCTCCACGCAGGGAGCCTGTTGGGGGACTCAATCCCCAGACCAGGACTACGCCCTGAGCCAAAGGCGGATGCTCAACTGCTGAGCCACCCAGGCGTCCCTCATTCGACTTCTTAATACACTAACTGTTGTAAAACAGAAGGAGGGCTGATGAGTCTACAGGGATGAAGTTCATTGGAGAGAATATTTGTTATCTTATTTTTAGTTCCTCAAGTTTTTGTCGCAAAACCCCATAATAAATGTGGGGTGCCTGACTTTGTTTACTTCTGTAGGGCCTCCTTGGGACATTGGCCCACACAGCAGCCTTAAACCAGGTTTCTTAGAGCTCATGAGCTCGTGATGCACCGAGGCCCTTCCATCCTTACCTGCACAGCTTCTAGGGCAGCAGGGGGCATGCATGAACCAGAGATGGGGGATGTAGCTGTTTCTGCCTCAGAACCTTCTGTGCCCTTCGTAAGAGGGCCCCAGAAGCCGTCTTGATGGCATTTTGGACAGAATATCTGTATTGTAAGAAAGGAAAACGATGGGGGGTGGGGGGGGAGCGCCAGAGGGACTCTTGTCAATGTGCCAAGGGAAACCAGTAGCGCAGAACCACTTTGTACCTGCAAGCCACGCAGGATGCTCAAGGAGGAGTGTTCAGTGTTGACTCAGCCTCTCTGCCATAAGGAAGAGGGGAAACCTCAGCATCATTTGCCCAGACCCCTGAGGATCTGATAATCTGTTACTCTGAGCCCTTTCCTGCTGCAGCCATGTGGGGGCAGTGATGCAGCTAATCCGGCTGGTTTCCCTTGTAGGAACTCCTGGTTTTGAGACCATTTCAATCCTTGGAACTTCTTAAATTGGGGCCTCTGGGTTCAAATTCATTTCCTGGACAACACAGAACCACAGACCATCAAAGGGAACAGAAATGGCTGGCTTTGGTTGTATTTCGTCCCTCTCTCCAAGAGGAGCCCTCTGATACCTGTAATAGTTTTGCAGTCTCAGTGAAGTGGCTGAGAGAGAGGTGGGCCGGAAGGTAAAGGCCTGAGTCTCACTAACCCATGCAGACTCTAGCCACTGGATTACCACAGTCTACAATGGGGCGTGGCTTCACAATTTAGTGTGCTCATTGGTTT